ACACGTGTATCACTAGTTATATTCAGCAACAAAATCAAGTTTCTGTCCAATGTCCACAGTGTTCTCAGCTGTTCAACAGTAATATGAAGTTAGTGAAAAACTGGAGTTTGTTTGAAACTGCACAATCAATGCAAGTTGCAAGCAGAACTATCTATGAGATATACCTTCTGGATACAAGTACATCGATGGGTTATTCCGATTCCTTTATCGGTTTAGTTGGAGACAGTCGACTACAATTAGCTCAAATATTTTTGAAAAAATTATTTCAGAAGAGGTAACTTAACTGTTTACTGCTTATGACAGTCTATACTATGTTTTTTATCAATTCTATTCACATTTTTAAAGACAGTCCCAAATGAAAGAACAATTTCTGGCAAATATTTATTGTAGATACAGAGATAAGGGAGCGGTTTTTTATTCTTACAAGAAAAATAATCACTATGTTTATTGCTCTAGAATCGGTTTACCGCAATATCAAACTGCTCTGTTCACATTTGATAGCTGGACTAAACTAGTTTTTGATTTTATAACAATAGAAGAAACAAATATTGGAGATATGGAAGCACTGAAAGCTTCTGGTAGCCAAACAGCTCTCTTTGATGGTATATCATATTGTTTCAAGCATATTCAGCAGCTGGACAAACAGATCTATTTTTCGAAAGACGCACACATCACTCTCTGTATACTGACTGATGGAGCAGACACTTTCAGTTCAAAAGAAACTAGCAGTCTGTACAAAAATTGGATTTTAGATTGTTCTAAGAAATTGAACATTGTTGGACGTTTTGTGCAAATTGGTGATAAAAACATGCAAGATGCGAAACATCTGGCTGAAGATATTAACTATGATTTTCACCATCTTAATAGCAGAAATGCGTCGACCTTTACTGACGACTATAGTCGATCCACTAAACTAACACAACAGAGACCAGCATGTCCAGCTGACCCAACACACACTCGAGATGGTAACGTATTATCTCAGTTGATCGGTTCGTTACCAAACCCACCACATCAGTCGGTGTCTGCAACTCAGGTCAAAACCCGAAAAGCAGCAGTTCATTCATAAGTACTTATATGTGCTAAAGCCCGATATCTTACATTTGAAAAAGATCGATATGCTTGTGCGATTGTGAGACGTAACGTATGCATTAGAAAATTATGCCGCGGGATGAATTGGTGTGAGACTCTTATATTAGATGTAGGATTTCATAACGAATCCGGAAGCGAATTTCCTTTAACTTCATTTTGAGTTTTTGATGAGGTAGCCACAGTCGTTGCAAATTTTCATCTATATCTTTTTCCGTTTTGTTGTTCTTTTTTCTGTTCTGTTCCTCTTTCTTTTCTGGTTTTTTCTTCCTACTGGCATGAAAGTTACACTATATAAGTTTTTATAGCTTTTATTAAACTCCACAGCATTAAGCAGGTAACATAGAGTACATATTGATATTCTGATATAACTTGGATTGATTTTGACTGAGTTATGAACTTTTTAATTTTACTCAAAAATACGCAAAAATGGGCTATTTCACCTCAAACAGGTTTTCACTAGATTTTTGGAACTTATTGGGAAAATAAATGTTGCCACAAGATTCAGAGTGGTTGATTACCTATGTTTCCATTCGTTTTCGGAATGACTACCCGACAGAAAATCAACAGGGACCGCATACAAAAGAATTTGAACGTGCTACAACTACCGATGAAGCTTTCCAACAGACAATTAAAGCTTCGAAAACTTTAGCATCTGTTGCAATTGATTTCTTAGAAGATGATTTATTTGCAAAGAGTGTTGTAGATGAATTTAAATTATCGTCGACATCTGATACAACCACCACCCAATCATAGATCTATCTATGACTGCATCTATAGATGTTCTATCGACTTTGTTTTGTAATACAATGTAGTTTAAAATGCAAAGATCGAGCTTATAATAAAAGGATTAAGGGCGTTACACTGACTTGGAAAAAACTTTGGAAGTTTAAAGTATGGCTTTACAATTTAAATTAAAGTTATCCTAACTTTCAGAATTTCTTCTTCTCTATAAGATACATGAAGGAAGAAGAAATCCATCTTTGGTCATTTAGTGTTCCGATTCCCAGAGGAGCCTTTGAGTCCTAAGTCACATCGTCTGCGTCTAGCTATCTTGCGGCATAATTGCCAGCTGTACAGTTCAAAAGATTATTTACTATTTTTCAGAGTTAAACTATCCGTGCAATAATAAAATCATCAAATTCGACGAACGGCTTCAAACTCGTTTTGGTTTTGGGAAAATGAATCCTATGTGCGTCATGAAAGAATTGTAGTAGGAGGGAAGAGGCCGGATAAAGCCATTTTTCAGTTCTAAATATTTCTCAATAAAAACCATCGGATTATGGGTTATTCGACATGAACAAAATGGCTCATCAGTTTTTTGATCTGACTTTGGATTTTCCGATCCTCAGGAAAACCTTGAAAAAAGCTTAAACAAGGGTCAAAATGGGAGAAGCTTCATGTACTAGCTATGGTGCTTTCCTTATTATAATTGAACGAAAAGAGGCTGCAATACGGACTTTATACCACATAGGCTATTTTCTATGCTCTATCGAGTGGCATCAGTTCCAAAGGGGGAAAAGGTGAACTTTTTCAGCAGTAAGGAAAACGTGTTATCCCAAGCGATTGCCTGACAACCAGATTTCCCAAAAATTTTCTAAGTAAAGTAAAAAGCTAGAGGAAAACATTCTCTTCAAAATAAAACGTCACTGAACTCCGTAGGTTCTTGTATTGCTTCGATATATTTACTTTACTTTCCCATAAGACTTCGCTGTGCAGCTAAATCCAAGGAAAACACCGAAAATATTGTATATTTCCTATATCATTAAGGAAAAGTCCTACGGAGTTCGACGACATCTCATTTTGACGGGAATGTTTTGCTCTAGCTTTTAAGTTTGAGTTAGAAAACGTTTGGGAAATCTGATTTTCCGAAAATCGCTTGGGATAACACGTTTTTCTTACTGCTGGAAAAGTCTGCTTTTTTTTTCTTTGAAACTGAAGCCACGCAATAATTAGGTTCTACATACTCATTCATACAATTGAGCTTTATGCGTACCTCCATATTTTTCTAATAATACTTAGTTAGTTGTCACAATTAGAATTTTTAGTAAAATACTCTTTAAGGATGTATGTAGTATCAAAACTATCTACTTCCTTTTAGTTTACATTTTTGGGAGTTTTTTCCTGTTTTGTTTTTACTATTGACGCATATGTCTGACACATACGTCTACATTGACACATTGTGTAAATGTAGAATATGTGTGAAGCATAATGTGCACCAATTAAAAACTTAATACTTTTGTTGTCAATGGCCTGAACTCCAGTTATTTAATGCTCAATTATTGAACAATAGACAAGAAACACGCAGTTTCCAATAATCCATTCATTTTAGATTCATGAGACAAATTTTTGTTTTCAGGTTTTTACTCTTAATTTAAAAGGTGTTCATGCATGTTCCATATTTACAAATGAGTCAATAGTAGAAATAGGTCTTTCTGAATATTGATGATCTTTCGGGAAAAAAACAAATTTTTTCACCAGTGGAGAGCTTTGATTTTTGCTCAACAACTATTTTTGTTGAAAAAATGTCAGTTCCATCCTAGAAGTTCTTCTTTCTGAAATAATTTGAACGAAAGCTATGATTGTGAGAGGTGGGGATGGGCGGAAAAAACGAAATTTTCCTCGTTTTCATTGTAGCGCTCCTATAATGTATCGGGTGTGTCATAAAGAATTCCAGTCTCAGTGTTTTGCGTTTTACTCAGTTCTCTTAGATGCGGAAGAGCTATATTTTGTTGTTAAAAGATTCAACACTGAGGTCTGCACAAGAATTTATCAAGAGGTTTTCTTAGGCATGTGGTAGTGAAAAGGTACGGTAAAAGTAATGGAGAGTCCCAACATGCAAAAAACAATCCAAACATTTTACATGATGATTTCGAGCTTTTTTTAACAAGTGTGAAATCATTAAAATGACTTCAAGGAAGGTTCTTTGCACTCATGAATGTACTCTTTCTGGTCTTGTAGAGTACAGTTCGTCCAAGACAAATGGTGCATTGCAAATGTTAATTATTGCGAGCATGCTTAAAAGTAGCTGAACTTGATTATTTTCGTTGCGTTCAATACAGAGAAAAAAAATTCTGCAATTTTTACGCTTCGATGGTATGCACTGATCATTTATCTTCAAATTAGGCCGCAAATAATGAGATGGCGCACACTAAGGGAGATCCTGTTTTACATCCTCCCTAATACGCGGTCCCTACTTACAGCCCTGGTTCTATGGACGTATGCTAATAAAGATAACAGCATGCGGAAATGAAGAGAGAAGGTTCTGAATTCTGATTTAAGCAATCGCTGATTGCTCATTATGTTATAAAGACTCTCGGTTTGTGAGTAAACACCAACATATTTGCTGTTTTTTGTTCATAAGAAAATCTCCTACCGCTCGCATTCTCGAAGCTTTGCATTCTTCTTGCTCTCTTTCATCGACTTTGCTCCCAAATCCCGCAGTATAAATCCCTGACCCTTCGTATCAACATGCCTGTGTCAGCTGAGTTTACTTCCAAAGTCAAAGTTTGAGGTTTAGATTCCAATCAGTTGCTCAGGTTATGATGATAAATCAGTATATTTTAGTCTTAAATTCAAAGGAGTTATGTCTCAGAGCGTTTTGTGTGTCAAAACTTGCGTATTTTTAGGCAAATCAGATATTTAATCGCATTTTTAGTTATCTCAATTATAGCCAACCCAATAATAATTTATAGGCCAACAACAAATGTCGAGCGACCTCGGGCGCCCAAACTATATTCTAGAACATGTCCGCCTTGTTAGCGATTTTCGATGATATTTTTGCGATATTTTTCGGGAGATGTGCGACACCACCCCTCCTCTCTCCCAAAAAATAAAAAATTCTCGATTTTTCCCAGCAGGAAAGAAAAATTTTCTTGTGTTTTTCGAAAAAAAAGTCTTGTCTTAGTGAAGCACTCCACTCAAAGTCTGACTGGTTACGACAGCCCTAGGAACACAAAGCAGTCAAAAAACCGAAGAAAATTTGAATGACAGAATTTCAGAGGTTTATTGAGACATGTAGGTGCATTTGTGAATTAAAAGTGAACAAGTTTACATTGCCAATGTAACAGGATCTCGACTCTCCCGCGAGTTTTTGTAACTAGATGTTAAGCAAACTAACAAAACAACAGGTATTACTGAACGTAGTCGTTATAAAAATTTTAAAACAGCTTCAAATTGAAAAACTGATATACGAGATAAGTACCTGAAAAACTGAAGCAAATTCACACTTTGTGATACATAAATCTTCTATGTGAAACTACTTTTCGAACTCACTCTCACACTATCCTCACCTCATACCCCGATGTAACGGTCTCGAAGCCCGTTACTATTCCTTTACTGTAATCTTCGAACTACAGCTGTTAGGCTCGGAGTTATAACTAGTAAAAAGAGAGTAGCAGATAAAAATATGTAAAACGGCTGCAGTTAG